CCGTGCTGGCCCCCTCCCGGGAGTCGCAGAGGCCGCACCCCGGCAGCTCCGTCAGGAGAGGGGGCAAGGCTGCACCCTCCTGGTCGGTCTCCCCATGAAGCCACGAGAGCAAAACGAAGCACTTCGCTAAGAAACAAAAACGCCAGCCAGGGATGGCCACCCCCTGGGGCTGTAAAGGTCACCCATATAGAGCTGAGGGCAGGGGTGCAGTGGTAACAAAACCAGACGCGTGTGGGCGAGGTCTCGGGTTCGAGTCCTGGGACCACCCTGTACGCGCCAGGTACTCAGTGTGTGTTATGTGGCCTGGCTGAGACGGGGACTGCACTGAGAAGGCCCTGCTTGTGGGGGTGGGATCTGTATCTTAGGACAAATGACACTGTTTAGTTTTGCTCTAGGGCATGTCAGTCACTGGAGGCAGAAGTGAGAAATCACCCCCAGGGGGATGGCTACGCTGCAGTCCCTTCTCCAGTCTCCTCTCGGGATTTGGGCATGCACACACACGCACCAGGTGTGTTTCCCAAGCTGCCGGGTCTGGGACCGGGACCAGGACCATGCAGTCGGCTCGGTGGGATCCAGCTGCCTTGACCCCACATCACTGGCTGGCCCTGAAAAAGCATCCCGAGTAGCAGAGGAAAGAGGCCTTCCTCAGGAGCCCGGCTGTGCTATGTGCCTGACCAAGGTGAGTGGCCAGGGTGACACCGGGCTGCTGGGCGCTGCTCTCCAGAGCCCCAGGGAGTACACTGGCAGGGCGGCGCTGGTCCCTCACACCCAGGACCAGGCCTTGTCCAGAAGCCCAAGGGGCAGCTATGGGCACCGCGTCGCTCTGGCTAGACCTCGGAGACGCGGAGGCAGGAACCCCATTTATTAGACTTGTGTTAGGACACCTCGCGGAACGGAAGGCGCCCCGTCTCGCTGTACGAGCAGGTCTCTGCATGTCCTCCCTTTCAGTGTCCGGGCCAAGATGGGGTGGGAAGAGCAGGCTGGATCCACGCTGTCACACGGTCTGTGTGGCGCTGTCTGCACGTCCTTATTCTGTGGAGCTGGCTCTGGGGCCCGCCTATGCCTCAGCCCGTGAGTCCCAGTGGGTGCAGCCCCATCAGGTACTAGTGTGGGGAGAAGCCCGGGCCTGGCCCGCCCGGGGTGCCCTCCCAGCAGCCATAGCCGACTCAGGTACCCGAGAGGGTGCAGAGAGGGCACCGGGAGGTGGGGTCTGCTCCCCTCCTGGACCCCACAGGGCTGCAGCACCAAACTGGCGGATCCAGGGCCCCGAGTCCCCGGGGCCCTGAGCAGGGGAATGCAGGGCAGAGCTGCTATGAGGGCAAAGGCGGTCAGGTGGGCGCAGCGGTGAAGGAGTGCCTGGGGACGGGTCTGAGGCTTCGTGGCTCAGCCCTGCAGGGCGGCATGCCCAGGGAAGGTGCCCAGGCGGACAGCAGAGCAGGTCAGGGGCAGGAGGGGCAGGGAGAGATCCGAGCAGTGGGCGCAGTTCTCCGGTGGCCCGGCCAATGCCCTGGGAGGACCTGTGAGTAGTCCTGCCTGGCCCGAGGAGCACGGGGTCTCCGTGCGTGGCCCTGAGGCACATGGCCCCACACAGCGACGCCACGGAAGACGTCATGAGTTGGGCCAGGGCGCTGGGTGTCTGCCCGCTTGTGTCTGGGGAGGCCACCCTGGGAAACCGCTGTTGTCCTGTGGGGACACGCTTCCCGGGGCTCCAGAAGCTCTCGCTGGACAACGCGGGGAGCGGATGTCCCGTTTCCTGGGCAGATGAAGTGCTCACAAAGGCGTCACTAGCATCTCGTGGACAGTTAGCGTTGTCCCCACAGGCCAGGTCCCGGCCTGGGGGACCGTCTGAGAGGAACACGAGTGTGGCGAGCACAGTGCCCGCAGCCATGGTGCCAGCTGCGTGGCTGCTCAGGGCATGCGGGAGTCTCCACGGGCACTGGCTCATGGGGTCCTGCTGCTCAGGGCACTTCCCAATGAGCTGATGGGGCAGCCCCCGGGGCTCCAGGCTCTGCTCACAGCGACAGGCCAGACGGCAATACCCTGAGTCTGCCCCTGGGTGAGGGCAGAGAGAGCCCAGGAGGAAGCGGGAAGACCCAGGACACTGACGGGGTTCCTCCAGGCGCCACCGTGCAGACCACTGTCTCCTTGCAGGGTCAGAGCCAAACCAGGGTTTGGTGACAGCAACGTGGCCAGGAGAGAAGAGGTCCCGCGGCCTCGGGATGGCACGCCGCGCTGGTAAGGGATCTGCTCCTGCTGGCGGGCAGCCGTGCTGCACTGCAGCCCCATCAGCTCCTGCCAGGTACCCCCATAGCGTGTGCTGTGGACACGGGTTGTGGGATGGGAGGACACGTGCTCTCTGGGCACACAGGCCTGTGTGACCCCGGGGGCCTCTGCCCACCAGGAGCTGAGCGTAGAGGTGGCAGCATCTGGCCACGAGGTCCCATCTCGGCCCGTGACCGCCTTACACGAGGTCCAGGATGCTGGCCCTGCAGACAGCCTCGTCAACAGGGCGCTGCCTAGAGGTGCCAGCTGCCAGCCGCACCTCAGCCGGGAGGTCACGGTGCCCGCGTTCCTGGAGCTTGGCCTCCACGCCCCGCTGTCCGCTAGTGAATGCGGCTGCCGTCTGCAGACCGTGTGTAGGCCTCTGGCTGTCGGTTAGCTTCCTGGGCGTCCAGGTCCCCGGGAGGTGACGGTGACCAACAGGCAGCCACAGCAGAGCACGAGGCAGGAACTGCAATCGGGGCAAGAGGGGTTGCCAGCGGCTGGAAGCTGTTCCCTGAGACAGAGGGCCAAGCCGGCCAGCAGCTGGCAAGGCCCTGCCTCTGGGTCCCCACCCTCCATGACCGAAGGTCCAGGCGGGCAAGCAGAGTGGGTGCCCAGGACTAATGGGCCAGCCTCCTGCAGGGCCCGGCCTCCCCACCTGCCCTGCCCAGGCCCTTCCCCAGGGTCTGGTCACCTGCCTGGCAGAATCAAGGTGCACAGAGACAGGGCCCCCTGAAGGCCAAGCTTGGGAAGTGGGGCAGCGAGACGCCAGCCCCAGCCTCGCACAGGACCGCAGGAGGAAGCGGCCCCTTGGCACCTGAGAGGGCGGCTCCAGGCTGCCTACCGTGATGCTGCGGCACCCGGTCGCAAGTTCACTGGTCATCTTGCATGTTACGGTGGCCCAGCGTGGGGAGGCCACGCGGCACCATCCCACCCAGGCAGCCCTGAGTCAGGGAGCATTTCCCGTGGGTAGGGCGAATGCACACAGCTGGCCAGTCTGCCCTGGGGCTTTTGAGGGCCATGAGTAAGCCGGGCCATTAGACACGAGAAGCTGTGACAGTGGCGTGGGCCTCAGTCCCAGGAGGAAGGTGCCGGCCCCTGTGAGGTGCAGAGGCTCAGCAGTCCGGCCTATGTGGGGGAGGGAGCAGGAGACGGCACCGCGGCCTGGACTGCACGGGAGGGCAGCCCCGCCCCCACCCACTGCCCAGTGGGGGCATCTCCCCTGGCCCTGAGTGGCCCTGATGGGTCCCTCGAGGTCCAGGCTGCATGGCAGGGTCCATGGGGAGCCGTTACTTTGGCCAGAGGATGAAGACAGTGCACATGGAGGGGAGAGGCCTCCTGGGCCTGGAGAACCCTGGGGGCCAGCAGCGGTGGGCTCTGAGATGACACAGGCAGAGGCCACCGGGTGGGGGCCAGCGAGGACACGGACGGAGAGCCCACTGGGCGGGGCTGATTACCACACGGACGGAGAGGCCACCAGGCGGGGCGAGTGAGGACACGGACACAGAGGCCACCAGGCGGGGCGAGGGCAAGGACCTGGACAGAGAGGCCCCCTGGCGGGGCCAGCGATCCTCGCTCGCCCCGCCTGGTGGGACCGGTGGCGGGGCGGGCGAGGACACGGACGGAGAGGCCCGCTGGTGGGACCGGTGAGGACGCGGACAGAGGCCACCAGGCGGGGCGAGCGAGGACGCGGACAGAGAGGCCACCTGGTGGGACCGGTGAGGACGCGGACAGAGGCCACCAGGCGGGGCGAGCGAGGACGCAGACAGAGAGGCCACCGGGCCGGCGAGGACCAGGGAGGAGG